CATGATCTATAAACATAATGTAATTCTCCGCTTATTCACGAGCGCAATATCTTTCTCTAGCTGCAAAAAAATTCAATCTTGACATTGCCACTTCTTTCACGGATGCATCTTATAAATGAAAATTAGAAGATGAGTTCATATTATCATTATAACTACATTTGTACACATTTGAGCGCTCGTAAACGACGGAAAGAATATATACATAATACAGATTTCTTGTTATACGCGATCAATGGAGTTCAAGTTGTTACGTAAAGAGCGAGATTTCGTATTCAATATATTTTGCATTTATTTGAGATGTCCTTTGAAATAATTTATAGTCTCAAAGAATTAAGATCATTTAAATCGCGATTAAACTATTGTGCCAATATTTATCATAGCTATAAAACTGCTTCATAAAGAAGGATTTAGTATAACAAGAAATATATACATATATATATATATAATTATATATATATATATATATATATAAAATTATTCATATAATATATCAAGCGTAATGTATTTAATATCGAGTAACCTGGACTGTTTAATGGCTTGAAGACAATGCCAAGGTTCCTCAATCTAATATTAAATATATCGACAGTTTCGTCGAGTGTTAAATGAGAGCAACATACGTGTACTTTGGCACGAAATCAAAAAATGCACTACAGAGTATTCTTACATTTCAATATATTACATTGTTTGAATACCACGTTTATAGCCCTCTTCTCCCGGATATTTAACGACCGTGACACTTCCCAACACTTCCCAAATGTATGAATGACAAAGTGTAATATCAAATATATGAAATATATAAATACTTAAACATTCAAAATGATACAAACGCTTGAAAATTACGAATAGTGTATAAAATCTAAGTTTTAATTCCCACAGTCTTATATGTTACAATAAAAAAGAGCAGTGAAAAAATAACTCTTTATCTAAAAAAATAAATCAGATTTTGATGAAAGATATATCGTGATATTCTAGCAACGTGTATCAGTAACTGGAGCATATTCTAAACGTATTGAACATTCTATGGGCACGGTCAAGGCATTTAATTGATCAATCAGAAGAAAAAATTTTACTAATTGACCAATTACAAAGAATGCTTCCCAGCATTTGTAGTATCACGTTGACCGTACCTTATATTGAATATTCTGTACATCATTTCAATTCTCCCGTTTCACGTTTTGATATAATAATAATCAATCTAACGATTACCTTTTTATGTGCATCTAATAATTAGAAGCTATACAAACGTTGGTCTGTAATTGTGTATAAAGTATGACATTTTAACAGAGAGGTAAAATTTTGCAGCAATTTTATGCACTCTGTCTTCTTGACATACTGTAGTATTAGTTTTTGTACAGACATAAATATACATATTCTCATAGAGCACAGAAATTTGCAGTAATATTTTTACAACATTGCATATTAAAGTGCAATTGTGAAATTTTTTTTTGTAATATTACTTCAGCAATATTGCAGTAACTTTTCAAAGATATTGTAAAAAATAATATGTTGCGTCTTAGCCGCGATCAGTATGCGCCACTGCCACAAAATGGACGTGAATGACGGAATTTTATTCTCTCGTAAATAAAAACTTATATAAGATAGAATAAAAGATAAAAAAGATTTTTTAACTTATATTTTAACAATTCTTTGAAAAGATGAGTACTCAAAATTGAATTTTAAGACAAAAGTAAATTTGATTCTTCTGAATAAAAATTAATTTAAAAACTTATATTCTTAAAAGTGTTATGTGTTAAAATATTTTAATATAATGCATTAAAAATATTATCAAAAACACTAACACATATTATAATGTAACATATTGTAATGTAACATATTGCTGTAACAATGTATTGCAATATTTAAAAAAATAGACATTTTACATTATATCATCATTATATAGCAGCAACATTTCGCAAAGTTTTTGCAATCTTGCAGTAAAATATTTCTACAACCTTTTTGTGCTGTGTGGACTTTTTCATTTTATTTCATTTCCTAATTCATTAGAGACGTTCATTTTCCTCAGTTTCCGTATCGATTCCATCTTTCATCGTATCGTTTATCTGCTTTTCCTCTTCAGAAACAGTAGGCACTTTAGTATGAGTCGAATCGTTCCATGACTGAATTTCCGCAGATCCAAATAGCCAAAAGAGAATTGTTGCTGATGTAAATACTACCGACGATATCCAAAACATTATACGCCATTCTTCCACACCGTTCTACAATACAAAATATAATATTATTCTTGTGACTTTCACTTTTGTATATAGAAATTATGCGTTTCGCGGGTTATCTTCGTGTCGAAATTTATTTTTAGAATGCCTACGTTTCATGAAGATTGCAGTTCACTTTATTACGGCGAGGAACAGCCTGATACTAAGGCTGTGTTCCAAAATTGACTGCCAGTACTGAAAATCTATAGTGCACGTAACGTAAACTGTAGCATTTTTAGTTCTAGCAGTAAATTTGGAACACAGCCTAAGTTGTTCTTTCAAATAATTCCCTTTTTACAAAATCAGCATATATAAAGGGAATCACACAAAGGAACAACTCAGTATCAGGCTGTTCCTCGTCCTCATGAAGTGAACTGCTGCAATGTTCACGAAACATTGATATACTAAGAATGAATTTGGACACGGAGATAATCTGCGAAACGCATAATTTCTGTAAAATATAATATATTAATAAAGATAAATAAAATTTAAAAAAAATACAAAATAAAGTACAAATACAATTATATCTACAATTATATATAATAACAAAAACGCACAAATACATAAAAATATAAAAAATATATATAATTATTTTATACACGCTTATGGTGTATATATTTTTAATAAACCACATTTTCACAAATTAGAAAACTTATTTGTATTTTTAACATAATTGGTATAGAAAGATAACATACTCTTTCATTGGTTAAAGCGCCAATAATAGGTGGAATGATGAATCCGGGAAAACTACCAAATGTGTTCATAATTCCATATAAAGAACCGGCATAGTTTGGTGCCAAGTCTTGATGATTCTGTAAGCTGGTCTGGCAGGCGGCCCCATTGAAGGCCAACGCTAGTATTAACATTATTATCGCAGCTGTAGCATCACAACCTACGTATGTCATTGCTACCAGACAAATTGCAGGTCCCATGTGAGCTGTGAGTCATATTTATGAATTATCGGTTAAATAATAATTGTTTACGTACACATATATTTTAATAACTCAATTTCGAAATTACGACAAACGTAACTGTTTTAAATTACTTACAGAATAGCATAAATATTTTTCTTATCCAGCCTAAAGATAAAAACTTCTTCCTTCGTACGTAATCGCCTGCTGCTGCAAATAATACTCCAGCGCCTAGTCTAGCTATGTAAGGTAATCCAGTTATTGCGCCACCCTACACATAAAAATATTAGAAATGTCTTCAGTAATGATAAGATAAAATGATGTTTTAATTAAAACAAAATTATAAAAAATACCGATTTCATATTGAAACCAAGGACTTCTAACGTGTATTTGGGTCCATTTGTAGCGATGAAATAAATACCCCACATGTTTGCAAAGTGAGCCCACAATAATACTAGGAACGGTGGAGATGTAGCGACTGCTTTCACCGGTAGTTGGACCTGTATAAAAGATGCAAGCATTAGTCTATTTTATAATTATTTAATTCTATTTTTTTATTCTTTATTATTTAATACTTTATTTGACGAAGAATGTACACACACGCGCGCGCGCGCACACATACACACACGCACACATTCTTTGTCAAATAAAGTATTGAATGATAAAAAAATAAAAAATACAAGAAATAACTATTATATATGTCATACTTTTTGTTTCGAGACGGTAGTGCCTATTTGTTCCTTTATATACGTTTTTTCTTTATCTGTAATACCAGGATGCAAATCCGGTGTATCATAGATTAGAAATACCCACAAAGCATAAAAAACTAACATAAGCCCGCTTGTAACATAAAATGCAGCTTTCCATCCATAAGCACTGATCACCGCACCGCATAAAGCGAATGTTACCACGGTTCCAAATGGACCACCTTAAAAAAAGGAAACCAGCGTTAATATATATTTTATTAAAACAAGTATTCTATTTTAAAGATAAAGAAATGAAGAAGAGAGTAATACCTTGCATAGTCCATACAAACATGCCCTTCTCACCAGGAGGCACCCATCTGGCAATCATCGCGTGAAGAGCAGGATAAACAGCGCCCTATAAATTAATATACTATAGTCTTACTGAAAATTTACATCTTACTTCAAAATTTATATAATTTATATAATATTAAACATAATAATACAACTTAGAAAAATCATATAGAGTGAGGTAACTTACTCCGAAAAATCCCATTATAAAACGAAGTGCAAAAACAAAACCATAGTGAACACTAGCAGCCCAAGGCATCAGAAGATTTAATACTGCGGGTATCAATGTGGCGAATCTAATGTCACAAAAGTATAATAATTATAGATAGTTGATTAACGGTAATTAATTTATTCAATTATAATACTTACGCTACTACTTTAGAGCCCCCATATTTTTCAGCTAACATTCCAGCTGGTACACTAGCCGGCAGGACACCATAAAAATAGCCAGATAGCAATAGACCTTGAATATGTTGATTCCATTCGAAACGCTCTCCAAACTAAAATGTAAGAGAACATACATTTATAATATTACAGAATATACACCTTCTGCAAAGAAAGAAAGATGGACTTCCGAAAAAATGAACCCGATTTTGTTGTCAATACTACTGTGTTTTGATGTGCTGATTGTGACCATAAAAATTGGTGATAAAGTCATTTTCAAAGTCAAATATGTAAAAAAAAAATGTGTTTTTTTTATAATTTGACCCTGAAAATAATCTTGTAATCGGTAATTTTTATAATCATATTTGTAATCAGCACACCAAAATACTGTAGTATATCAATCGACAACAAAATCGAAGGTTTTACCTTTTCGGAAGTCTATCCTAAAAGAATTCAATTACGTGAAAAAATATCTATTAATAATGCTCGGAGTAAGTCATTATTTAAATGTATTACATTTTGTGCTGTAATATAATATAATATTCACAATATGTTTATCAATAATTACGTGGACTGACAATATATTCACATGCAAATTTTACGAATGTGCAGACTTACATCTTTAAGCACGACACTTTTATTGCTTTTTATATTTGCTATACTGCAAGCTGGTCCGCTGCCACCGTCTTTGCTTGTAGTGTTTACCATAGCGACAATAGATATGGATAAATTAGTACGAATGACGTAGGAGAACATACAAGCCAAGAACATCATTGCCCCGAGGATTCCTCTCCGAGGGATCTTCTCTGTAACACATGTGAACGCTTATTGTTATAGTTAGTTAATTAAGGTAATAATTATATCAATTTACTAAATATAATATATTTCTCAACGATATAATAATAATATATTAACAATTCATAATAGTAATTTAATAGACACTTCAATATATTTCAAAAACAATTTTTTTACAAGCTTACAATTATTACTAAAGTATATCAATTTCAATATTCGCTTACATTAAAGGGACCCTAAAGTCGTTTGTATTACCGGCGAAACTATATAATTTTTGTATAACAATTACTTTTTTCCTCTCTTACTGATTTAAAAATCCTTTTCCAAGATTAAAATATACACACTAATACGTGTCTGTGAGATGGAATCTATGCTAAGAACGACAAAAGATTTCGAAATTGAAATCTTTACTATTTCTTAGTCCAATATGCTTCAGAACTGTCACATTGTGACAACATTTGCTTCATGTAAAAGTTGTACAATCTATACCTATGAAATAATAGTTCACAGACTAGTAATTTACATGAAGAAACAACGTGCAGTTCTTAAAATTGGACTTAGATGTCTAATTAAAACGTAATTGTTACACGAAAATTTATATGTATATGTGACATGCGTGAGTGAGATATTGATGTAGTGATGTGTCAATAATACGTAAATCGTCTGTACATATGTAAGTATTTACAATATGATTAATCGTCTTTAGGATTCCCTTAAACTAACAAGATACGATATTTATAAATCGTAAATTATTTTTGTATTATTTTAATTATTATTATTATTACTATTGCAATTAATAAATTTTTCGCAATATCTATTAATTTCTTTTGTTAAAGTACTTATGTATATTTTATGCCGGAATAATACAAGAGTGATCATTGTATAACACGAAGCACTTCTGTTCGCTCTACTAGAACGCAAAATCGAGAATGACCTTTGAATCGGCACATAATACCTAATAATCTTAAATGAAAAACGCACGATGATCTTCGATAATAAACATCTCGTTTCATTAAGTACATAATACCCAACAAAAGTGCAGATGCAATTTGAGTAATCGTTTTGCGATACATCATCATACTATTAAAAAAATAAGAACTCCATATACAAAATAAAATTTAAAAAATATTTTCTAAGATACTACTTATACATATAAAGATCATTTCTGTCCTTTTTCATTAATTTATTTTAGTTTTAATAAGTTTTAATATTATATAATAATTTCATTATTATCACATTATTATCCTTTTATTTATTATTACAATTTTGTAATGTAACTTATGTACTATTTTACAAAATACATAATTAATAATATGTTTCAACATCAACAAAACTAATTCAGATGCAACTTGTAAACAACCCTGACCATATTTCAAGAGAATCCCGTTCAAGGTAAAGTATTGACGCATTACTTCAGAAGGTTACAGCATATAACTACGTGCCTGATCGAGCGATTTTACTTCTCTTTATATTAACGATTGTATATAGTTTTATTGAATTGCTGATAATTGCAGAAGAAATAAAAATCAAATAGTTCGTTGTCTAGTATTATATGTATAGATATTTTTTCATCTTTTCCATATATATATATTTCA